TACAATGAACTTGATCAATCTCAACAAAAAAAAGATGAGATAATTCTAATTAATTAAAATAAGATAAAAATTATAAAAATACTTGATTACATTACCGTCCTTATTGACTTATTTATATTTAATATAATTTAAATTATTGATGTAAAATTTTTAAATTAATAGGTTGTTCTCGCATTATCGTAAATCACAAACGTTCTCGTTTGAACCTATATATATAATTCCTTACATTATATATTTTATAAAAAAATATTCTATCATTATTAATATGGGTAAAATGCACAAAATAACAATCTACTTTCATAAATTTATTTATTATAGCATTGTAATTCTAGTTTTTCTTATTATAACAATGTACTTTCAAACTATTTTTTATTAGGACATTGTACTTTAAAAAATTTACCCATTATAGCATTGGGTAACCTTTTGATTTAAATTTACCCATTATACTAGGTTTTCATGCCACCTCATTGTCCATATAGGTTGTCCACATGTACTATAGCGATGTGACTTTCTTACTACATCATTGTACTTTCAAAATTATTTTATTATAACATATACTAGTTTTTATTAAACATTGTATTTTTTATTTTTATTTTAATATTTAAATTTTTTTACATGTTATTCATTAATATACCAATATTAATAAAATTAGTAGAACATAACTTATTTCGCTGATATTTTAAAAAAATATGTGTTTTTTGAAAAAAAAAGAAATAAGAATTGTTCCTTTTTTACCAAAAAAAAATATTTTTTAAAGAATATATTATATTTGTTCAAAATTGAATTATTTATCAATATAACAATATTAAAAAATTGTAGATCACAATTTATTTCGTTAACATTTTAAAGAAAACTTTAAAATATATGTATTTATTTGAACAACATAAAATAAGAAGTGTTACATTTTTTACAAATAAAATATATCTCGAAAATAATGTTTCATATTTATTTAATAAATATTTTACTCTATAATATTTAATTTGCATGCAACTTAATAAGAAAAAGTAAAAAAAATTAAATGTTTTTTTAGATCATAACAATGAATAATGAAAATCACTAATAATAATTTGAAATAGGTTTTTATTTTTATTTTAGTTAAGTTATGAAAACGATGTGTCATCCACATCATCTCATTAAAGCCACATAAGCAAAAAAAGTCAAGGGGTTAACCGGTTTAAAAGGTAACAGGTTACCCATTGTTATTATGGGTAGATTTTTTAAAGTGCGATGCTTTAATAAAAATAATTTGAAAGTACATTGATGTAATAAGAAAAAACAAAAGTAGAATGCTATAATAAAAAAATTTATGAAAGTAAGTTGTTATTTCATGGATTTATATTTATTATTATTATTTTTATTTTATATATCAATATACATATATATATATATTATCGTTTATATATTATTATATAACTATTATATATATATATATATATATATATATATGTTTTTAGAGGAGTGATCATATGAAAACCGCCCTCATTTGTGTAAACCGTGCAAACCACCTTCATCTGTCGATTTCATTGTTTAATCTTATGAAATTTTTTCATGAAA